AACGCCTGGGGCTCCGCAGGGGTCTGGTTTGGGACCATGTAGCTATCGGCATCCAGAGGGCGCTTAGTACGTTGGCAGATGGTCCCAAGCTGGGAGGAGTGGCCGGTGCTCGGGGGACAGGCTCGTACTGCAAACGGATCTGCACAAAGTGAGGAATGGGCTGCGGCACACGGGATGCAGCTGAATGAGGAGAAATGCCAAGTGCGCCGCTTAGGACGGACCCGCCATTTGGCACGTGGCGCGTGGGAAGCGACTGGCTAGGGAGGATCACAAGCCAAATAGGAATCAGCAGGGTGACACTGGCGCAAAACCAAGCAAACGGCACGAACAGGAGGGTTGTGAGCCAGACTCGGGAAGCGCTTCTTCCGCTCTGCTCTGCGCTGAGTCTCGCTGCTGGTCAGGCCTCTTGGATTATTGGCTCCAGTCCTGGGCCCCACATTTCAGGAGTGTGGTCTATTGCCAGGAAAAGTTATGGAAACAGTGAACTGCAATTTGAGTCCTTTTTTTGTTTGTTTTTGTTTTTGGAAGAGGCATTTCTGGAGCCACATGTCAGTCCAAACCCTCTTTCCGAAGCTCCCTTCTTCCCGTTGGGCGGAGGCAGACAGGGTTTGCACGTCCACAAGAAAAGCAGACGAGCAGACGCATTCCCTGGATGCAGGGGGGGTTCTGGGAGAGCACTGGGCCTGAGACGGGCCAGGAGAGCAGTTTTCAGGTACCTAAGGTTGGGTTCAGGGAGGAGGCGAATTGTTCCCCTTGGCCTCCGAGGATCGGACAAGCAGCAATGGGCTTAACTGCAGCGAGGGAGGTTCAGGCTGGACATTCGGGGACACGTCCTGTGTGGGGGTTACACACGGGGATATTTCCGAGCAGACACCGGGCAGGGATGGGCTAACGGGGCTGGGTCCAGCCGGACGGGCGGGGGGCTGGACCCGACGATCTCTGACGACTGGTGCCCGTTCCTGTGGGGGTTGGGCGGTGGCTGGGTGGAGGGGGTTGGGATCTGACTGGCTGGGGGTGGTTGGGGGCAGGACATC